GCTATCATGTTAGCTCTAATGGACAACGCTCTCCGCTCCCGCTCAATGTCCGCATTGTCCTTGAGGTGATTAGATGTCCCAGGTACTTAAATTGATTGATAACCTTTAGGGGCACACTATTCAATAATACTGGTGGTAAATCCTGGGGACACTTGGTACCTGCCTTAAAGACCATCCATTTACTTTTCTTTACATTGTACTTTAGACCGTGTCCACTCGCATACTCCTCACAAATGCGTATCAGTTTCCTTAGGCCACAGATCGACGCACTCAGCAAAACCATGTCGTCAGCGTAACTCAGATTGTTAAAACAGACGCCGTCAATATGACAGCCGACGCGCTGGCTGCTGAGAGCGTCGATCAAATCGTTCATATATAAATTGAAAAGTGTCGGAGATGTTAGTCCGCCTTGCCTGACTCCACAGTCAAGCTGATACGGATCCGACACTGCACCCGCCCAACGCACGATGTTAAACTGGTGTGAATACCAGTACTTGAACACGCTGATGAGTTCCTCAGGTAAGTTGATACTTTTCAGTTTATCCCATAAGCGGTCGTATCGAACTAAATCAAAAGCCTTAGACAAGTTCAGGAAACAGGCGTATACGGGGGTCTTGCGGCTTGTATAGTATTTAACGGTATGCTTAAAACACAATATTGCACTTTCTGTCGACAGCTGCGGTCGAAACCCGAACTGGTTATCATTCAGCTTTACGTGTTTGTTTAACTGTGCTTTAAGCAAACCGTCAAAAACTTTTGCTTTTGCTTTTTTTATGAAATTATCGTTTCATTTAGCTGTACTAACATGATGGAGCGTGAATAAAGTTTATAAAACGTTGCGAAAAGATGATTTTTTTTCCTCGGGATCAAATTTATTTGTGACCCATGTTCTAAAGTGTAGTACCTTCTATCATCTGTCTTCCTTTTCGGGAGCGTTTCACAAACACCCGGTATACTGTAGATATCTATGGTAAGTAGACTGTGGTAGACATTGGGTTATACTCACTGCGCTAGCACTTCTTACTAGTTTGTAGTTATATTAGTATATGTTACAGTTGAAACCAGTTTTTAGATAGAACGCGTTTTTCCTAGTTAAAACTAGCTTTTACTTAATGCCTTTGTTATAACTAGAATTAACTAATGCTCAAAATTAAATATCTGGTAAAACTAGTTCTTACTAGACAAAACGCGTTTTTCCGAAGCGAGTCAGTTAAAACTGTAGAATAGAATAGAATAGAATAGAATGATTTTTATACAATACGGATTATTACATAATACTTATTGAAAGTCATTATTTTATTTACCACTGGTTCGGAAAATACCTCTGTCCTGGGAAGAACCAGCAAGAAACCCAGCGGGACTTTTTTTTTAAACATATTTTCACTTAACAATAATTTTGTTTATACAATTTTAAATGAATTTTCATAGAACCAGCATGGTGGCGATCACCTTATTCCCAGGGGTTATTTTCATTCATGTATTCCTTGATATTATAATAACCCTTTTTATACAGTTTTTCTTTAATAAAACTTTTAAACTTGTTTATTGACAAACTTTGAACATGTTCTGGGATTTTGTTGTAAAAGCGTATACATTGCCCCATAAATGAATTACTAATTCTGTGGAGTCTAGTAAGTGGCATAACAAGCTTACGTTTGTTCCTAGTGTTTAAGGTATGAACATCCTTATTCTTATTAAAGCTATTTATGTTTTTATGTACATACATTACATTTTCATAAATATATTGCGATGCCAAAGTTAATATGTTTATTTCTTTAATTTTTTCTATGAGGGACTCTTTACAATTTAGATTATAAATCGCCCGTACGGCTCTCTTTTGTAATACAAATATAGCTTCAATATCAGTCGCATTACCCCATAGCAAAATTCCATAAGACATTACGCTATGAAAGTAACTAAAATACACTAACCTAGCTGTCTCAACATCTGTGAGACTTCTAATCTTTCTTACAGCATATGCTGCAGAACTAAGTTTGCTTGCTAATTTAGATATATGGGGGCTCCATTGAAGTTTCGCGTCAATAGTAATACCGAGAAAAACAGTGGCTGTTCCGACCGAGGTTAAAGGACCGAAGTTACGGGGCGGTGCGGGAGAATCCCTTTCCGAGTCCGAGCGCCGTCCGCTTTACCGTTCAGTCTCGCTTTGTTTTAATTCTGATAAGCACGTATAGATTGATTCGAGCGAAATTGTCATGGCAGATTTAAATGAGGGAACACGATGGAAAGAGGAGTTTTTAAACCGGTTATTAGCGATTAGCGATCAGGAAAAAAAAAGAGGACCACTTTTATATTAGGACAAGAAATTTATGACAATTTAGTGGACGAAATTGAAGAAGCACAATTAGCTGTTCAGAAACAGTACAGGAGACTAAACGATTTAAGGTAATTAATATTTATGGAATACGAAAATTAGTGACTAGATAGGAGCCCATGAAATACTACTTGTATGTGATGATGAAATTTTTGATATAATTGAAGCAGCTCATGTGGCCGTTGGTCATGGTGGTCGAGGTAGGCTTAAAAATGAAACTTCACGAAAATATGCGAACAAAACTTTAGAAATGATAAATATTTTCTCTCTATGTGCGAAACTTGTCAGGGTAAAAAGAGTATAAAGAAAAAAGGACTTGGTTCAAAACCCATATTACATTCTGAAATGAACAGCCGTTGATAAGTCGTTCTTATCGACGTGCAAACTCAAAAAGATCGGGGATTTAAGTATATAACGGTGTATCAGGACCATTTCACAAAATTTGTTTTGTTGCGTGCACTGAAAAGTAAGAGAGCCGTGGAGGTGGCGTATCAGTTGTCTGATATTTTTGATATTTGGTGCTCCTTGTATCTTACACTCCGATAACAGCAGAGAATTAGTAAATTCTGTCATAAATGAGCTCGTTTAATTTTTGCCCGAGTGTAAACTGGTCCATGGAATTGGCTTTCCATGGACCAGTCAAAGCCAAGGATCTGTTGAAAGGGCTAACCAAGATATAGAGAAAATGTTGGCTTCATGCATGCAAGATAACGATACTACAAATTGATCAAATGGTATTCTGTTTGTACAGTGTATAAAAAATCGGGCACTTCATTCCGGTATTAAACAGTCACCATACAAAGCAATGTTTGGTATAGAACCGCGAGGAGGGCTTATGACTTCGACTTTGCCTCGAGATGTTATTGAGGATATACGAGATGAAGATGATCTCGAAAATAAATATGACGGATAGCACAGATAATGCAGAAACTGAACCTGTAGCTAGTTGCAGTGGACGGCATCAGATTATAACCAGAGCCAAACAAAAAAACGCTGAAAGTTCATCCAAAACAAGTCGAGATACGCCAATCGCAGCAGTAGCCCGTGAATATGATATTGAAGCTGAAGCGTCTACGACTGTAGAGCCTCTTTTAATACCACCAAATGACAAAGATCTCGAAGTTGTAACAAAAGTGAATCGATAAATAATAGCATCCAGAGAAACAGCACATCCAAACTTTAAAAAACAGGCCTAGAAAATGACATTGGCTTCAGATGCAATACACGTTCCAGTAGGAATCGGTGATAATGTAATTATACAAATCCCTGACACAGTCGACAGAGCAAAATCAGATCTACGTAATATAGTCGGAGTGGTTCTTCAAAAGGAAGATCAGAACACGAAACGAAATATGGAATGCTCGACAAATTATATTTCAGGTACCTATATACTGCTTAATTGTTTTATCATATAACGATATTGTTATTAGGTAAAAGCTAAATATTTCAATGTGCTTTTCAGGTCAGAATTGTGCAAAGAAAAAATTTTGCATGAAGAAGATGTTTCGAATATAAATTTACCTTTGAGAGCTGTTGCTAAGGAAGCAGCTATAGGAGCAAGCCAAGGTTTTATGCGCTGCGTATGCAAGAAAGAATGTATGACACAAAGGTGTCATACATTCTTTCTTGAAAAATGCATGAAAAATGGTTACCTTTGTAACTCAAAATGCCATGATAGTTTGTCTTGCAATAACAAGTAAATCCTCATCCTTTTTTAATTTTAAGGTTGTTTGATTATTTTTTTATTGTATGTTAAAAAAAATCCTTAACAATGTTCTTTTTTAAATTTTATGTTTGTGTTCTGTTGAATAGTTTGATTATTTTATTTACTTTTAATTAATATTGTCAGCTTGGCAACTACTTTATGTCGGTGTTCCCTAAAATGTTCCTTTAGTGTAAGATTATTATTTTTACTAGGAACAAAAAACTGTTAAAAATTTTTTACGTGGTAGAGCCATGCTGCAGCTATATTAGTAGTATAGTTGTAGCACGAATGGGTCTGCTTGACCGGGGAAGGACCACGCTCTCACAGAATACCAGCGTAAAATAGCAGCTTAACGCTACTGTGTTTCGTATGGTGAGTGTAGAAAACCGGAAACCGGAAACGAGGCATTCCATCTTAGTCCTCACGGATGACGACGCATCTGCATTTTTTGTAATAGAGGATAGATGAAGATGTCTATGAGCCGCAGCAACTACTTACCATCAGGTGGACTGTGTGCTCATTTGTCACCCTTATCCTATAAAAAAAACTCTGTGTCCTAGATCTTTTTAATTAATATTTAGTAAGTATATCTTGTTTTCAAACCCAAATTAGTTTCTCTAGTGCTAGTTTTACCTAAAGCTCGGAGTAACAACTAGTTTTATCTGAAAATCCAATATACCAGTGATAAATTCTAGTTATGACTAGGTATTTCTAGTTTTCACAAAGGCATTTAGTAATAACTAGGGAAAACGCGTTCTATCTAAATCGGGTTCTAACTGTAACATATATGTATATATAGTAATCTATGGAGTTATATGTACCACGTACGTGGTAGAGAGTTATTGTGTTCTGTGCACATTATGAAATTGGTCGATTATTTCTCTTACGTCGCCGTCGCATGGCAATAACGTTGCCCAATGTGAATTTGCGAGCTGCTTCTACTGATATATTAAAAACAAACAAGACATTTAATCATAATTTATTTTCTGTATCACAGTAGATTAAATTGCAATAATTTCTTTTGTATTAATTTTACACCAGCATTAGTTAGACATATATTTTAAATATAACATCTTTGGCAATTTATTGTAAAAACCATAACACCTACATAACTATCTATATATAAAATTTATTTGATGAAACAATATTTCTTAGTACTTAGGTGAATTGATATTTTATAATGTGAAATTAGTACGTCTAGTCAGCCTTTGTAAGCCTCTATATAGTTTTATATGAATATCTTAACAATTAATTTTCCTTAAAAATAATCTAAAAATATAAAACACAAACAGAAAATGTTAATTTAATATCTGTATCCATTCTAAATCACTATAAAGTAAATTAATTGTAAAAATTGAATTAATAAAAACATCAAGTTCCACCTCAGAGTTCCACGCCGTATTACCGTATACTTTTTAACAATATCATACATAATATAAGGTTAAATAACACTGTGTTCTCTCCAGCTTTCATCTTTGGGCTGTAACTTTGGAATAAGTATCGCATAAAACCCTTCTCGACTTTTATATATCCGAAATTAACATCCTCTATCGCCGAATTACATTTGGCTTATTTGCCATAAATACCTATACCGTTTGTAGAAAATTGAAATTCAACATGAATTGAGTTGAAACACACATAAAGATCCTAAAATAACAAGAGAAGTTATAGTTACGATTTTAATTGCTCGGGAACCATAATCAATTACGTGTAATGGAACGTAATTGTTCCTTCAAGGAACGTAAAATTCATGTTATGTTGAAGGGGTAAATTTTTCTGAATATAAAATTTTATATGCAGGAAACTTACTAAAGCTTGGTCGCGTGTTTGTTTACACATTTTCACAAATAAAATTAAAAATAAATCGAAAAGTTTCACGTTCTCTCGTTTGAACGTCGAACATTAAATATGTGTATTTAGTTACGTGCAAAATAATAACACAACGGAGTTAACAGAGTATTATGATACGTCGTTGAGAAGGACTGCTGTCGCATTCTTATCGCCAATTGGCGATGGATTCTTGTTTTTCACTGTTCTTTTAGTCTGTGCGACGTTGTGTCGATGCATGATATACAACAGCAGTACGAATCCGACAAGAAAACCGGCCAGTCCGCCGCTTATAGTCAGCCATGTTCGTCGCGACGATTTAACGTTTTGAACCTGAAATGTGAACGTAAAATTTTAGTTTTAGGTCTTCCCAAGAAAACACAAAGTGCAATTTTACAAAAATAATGACCTTTGTTTATTACTAGACATCTCGCGCCTTTGATGCTACCCAATTCCCTGTTATTTCCAAAGACACCTTCGACCTATTCCGCTTATCCATTGTACCTAACAAAAACCACCAATCTATTATTCCACCCTATCCTTTAATAGCAACTAATAGAGAAAAATTCGTGTACATGGAGACAGAATATCCGAAATTGAGTAATCGGTACCTATGCGAAAAGGAAACGAACACCCAAATTCGAACACAATGCGACTGTATCCAGAACCTCATTATCAATCAGTCTATAGCAAAATCCTGTAAGATAACCGACATTGCACTATCAAAAGAAGCCATGGAACGTCTTGACGACAAGCACTACACCATCTCTTACCCTCAACCAACTAAAGTCCATACAGTATGCGGGCATGAAGATATTACTACATTACAGTGTAGTTACTTAGCCACAATACCAATTAATTGCTTCCTGCGAACACAAGAATTCACCATCTCTAATATTAACGATCAAGTAAAAGGCCATCCCCTGAAACTAATGAAAATACCAGTGGATATAAACGTAAAAGGCAACGCAGCGGTACCACGAATCAGCCTTAATACAATCAACCTGAAAGGACTCCACGCAGCCCAGGACCAACTCATGAGTCATGATGCAACCATCAACTTCATCTGAGAGAGATGGATATCCCAACTTTATATCACACCACTATTCCCTTTTACGCCGTGTTATCAAGCATAGCAATATTCGCTATCATAATCTTAGTTCGTTACTACTAAAAGACTAAGAAGCAAGAACAGATCCAGAATAACACCCAACATAGCTATGAAAAGCCCGAAGAATCTGAAGTCAAAAAGGCATTACCAGCAACTTTTTCTCTCAAGGTTCTAAAATAGTTGCTGATCTGAGGGTGGAGGAGTTATAACATAGCCTCATAGGTAAAGAGCCTACACAGCAGCGACCCCGATACATTGCAGCGGCACGGGGCGCAACTCAGCAGAACGTGAGCTTTGACGTCAACGGATGCAACCGGAGCTCTGCTATATACCTTATTTTTACTGTAATAATTAAAATTCATTCTATATCTAGCATCGATCTGATTCACTCTTCTTTTAGTTATAGTAATTATATTGTAATTTTTATATTATAACAAAGTATTTTAAATTAGTGTCGGTTTTTTTTTGGGTCCTTCGGCTAGTTTTTTAAACATCTTAAACATCATTAGTCTCATAAAAATCTGTCCCAGCATATTCGCTTTAAATATATTGTGATGCGGATTTCACCATCATTTTGAATGATTTCTTGAAGGTTTTGTTAAAGTGTACTCTGCGGTATTTGTATATATCTAATATACGTATAGTTTATGTAAGGACAGTGAGGAATATTGTGTGTGTTTTGAATCATACTAGTATTAATACTCGTGCTAATATTAATGATAGCAATAACAAGTACCTGGGTATAAACGGATTTGCAGTGATGATAACTAGCGTTTAACGCTCCCAATATTTCCGGCCGAGGACAGTTTTCAAATTCTGGAAATGTTAAATTAAATATTATTTCAAAGCACCATAACAATTATTCAGGATAGATTCATTAATCAATCAGGTCAGAACTAAAGACGTTTTTATCATAGTGTAGCCACAATGCGTTGCAGCGTGCTCTACCACTTACAAAACTTGATTATGGGCAATTAATCCTACAAGGATTGGTAACAAAGGTTATGCCCGAGTTGAGAAAGTTCGGCGGGGCGTGCAACGTAACGGCGAACGCGATGAATTGATCAGTCTCCATTCAGGACATTGTAACACAATAATTGTGGGAGCGACGTAAGAGAATCCATCACATTATTTGGTCTATGGATGGTCTATGGGAAATGCCTGAAATTTTTTTTGGCTTTCGACAGAACAGATGACGGTCTAACCGTCTCGTTTACACCAGACCAACCATTATTTATTCCGTGACTTGACATTATGTATACTGGCGACGAAATCTGTGGGAATCTCAATTTCAAAATGCGATCGTCAAATCACCTGCCAAGAGTGGATCCTCCGTAAAACGGGAGAAGCCCATGTCCAACAGTGGATTTTTACGAACTGATAATTAAGGAGGTGGGGGTTGGTCATGCACATCGAACTGTTTTCTTTAACACACCTATTATCGGTATATTCTCCTGCAATGCATTTATTGCTTTCATTGTCTTATTTTCGGTGATTGGCGCCCCTTAGTAGTTACTAAACTGTTTGTATTATTGAACAAATAAAACAAACTTGAAGTACAAAAAAATACTGACCTCTCGAATTTAACTTGGTATAATCACTCAAATGGAAGTAAACACGCTTTTCTTGAAACCACATAACAGTCATTTTCAATTCGCATATCTTAATTTTATCTATTGATTCGGTCAAATCGACCTTTGCCAATTTGCACATTGCGCTGAAATGTTGGGCATCAAGTGTTGTTAATGGATTGTGTGATATATTGTAAAGAATTAGTTGCGGTAAGACACCCCAATCCGGTAATTGGTTTATTTTGCAATCCGACAAGTCTAGAAGCTCCAGTGGTGCCTGGATAGGCTTTTTGATCGTTAAATATTTGAAACTTAAATGAAGTAAAGGATTTCCACCCAAGTATAATTTTCGCAATGATGGCAACTGGAAAATTGTATTTGGAAGTTCTAGAATGACATTCTTCGATAAATCTAAAGTCTGGAGATCTGTTAAAGCTGCAAACGCATCTTTATCAATCATGTATATTTGATTTTCAGCCAAATAAAGGAATTTTATGCTTGTGTACGATGAAAAAGTGTCCGCGTGTAGTTCTTGCAACTTATTGTCACTAAAGTCGAGAATCTGAAAAGAGAAAAAGATTTAGAAGCACTTTTTGATTTCATTAATTATTTCAATAATTGCTGTAGAGACTATCGGTCCGTGGGGTCCACGTGCGGAGAAGTTCATAAAGGAACTCTACCCGCGACCGGTTGTTCCTGCTGGTGATAAGAGGGCTGGTTCTTTTCTCGCTCAAAGGCCTAGATAGACATTCAGCGAGGAAACGCAGTAAGCATTCTTGGCACGATGCCACGGGGAGTAGGATTGTACGATAATTAACCTATTAGTTTTAGTTTTTATTATTTTTTATTATAGTTTTTTTTTAATATTGTATATATTAAAATATTGTATATTATGTTATGTAAATAAATGTATTTCTAATAATAACATTGTTATAATAGAGATTTTTGCTTCTTCTTCATCAGAACGTAAAAGTTCACTGCTGGAAATGGGCATTTGCCGTTGTAGGAAGAATTTGCCAAGGGAAGAAGTTCCTATATAAAGCGCATTCTAATATTCTTTGTTAACTTTTAAATACAACACAAGACTAAAGAAAACTTCGAAAATTAGTGGGAAAGGACAATAGACACGGCCGCAGCCGGCAACAACTCACGCTACGCCTGTGACCGCAACCCTGCGCTCACCAATGCGCGTGATGAGAATAGTCAGTTTTTTTATAAATCTGAAGTGACCCACGAACTTAAAGTCGACCTTGATGGTAAAAGGTAAATGCCTACAGCCAACTTCAGATAAAGAAGGCTACCGACACGTTGCAGCCTCTGAGGATTAAGTTGAAATACCTCACAGTATTACTGGCTCTCAGACCGGAAAAGGCACTGCACACAGACAACAGAAATACATATAGGTAACCTCGCGCATTCTTTGATTAATCTATGACAACCATTAGGTAGTGGATTTAAAATTGGTCCGCGAAGATCGATATAACAGATACCTATCTATTGTTTATTTACAAAAAAATTGCGGTGATTGCTTCATTTCAATTTTAAGCACCTTAAAACATTCTCAATGTTAAAGATACAGTGCCAATAGCAGTGTCATTTTCAAAATATGTAGAGTCAATATTTTTTTATCACCATCATCGTCATTATGAGACTGTGATATTCCATACCTGGACTTAGTTACGCGTGTGTATTCTTTGAGTAAACATTATATTTTTTAAAAACTACATCGCTACTGCTTGGGCACATGACAAAAAGAGAGGTTGCAATATTAGTGAAAATAATTTCATGACGACATCTTTCCTTATTTTCTGGCGGTTACGTGGAACAGAATACGAACTTTACTATGAACCCGAAGTATTCAGGATAGAATGCCAAAAATCATTAAATTAATGTATTCGTATCTTGTATCTGTTATCTCGTTTCATTAATTTATTTGTCACAGACGATTTTACGTGGAAGGGACTAGATGGGCATTTGTCTATTCTTAGTTAATTTCCCTCCAGCACCAAAGAGATAGCTAATTGCAATTTTAAGTACTCATTTGCACCATGGGCGGCGGTGAAACAAGGAATCTGCATGTCTGATAATAGTAAATAGTTAGAAACCATTCATGTAAAATTTACTTTCAAAAAAAGTCCCGCTGGGTTTCTTGCTGGTTCTTCCCAGGACACATGTTTTTCTTCCGAACCAGTGGTAAAGTAAAAAATGACTTTCAATAAGAATTGCACTTATGATTGCACTTATATTGAATAAAAAATATTCTCTTCTATTCTAATAAAAATATTTCGATGATACACTGTAGTAGCGCGGCAGACTATACGCTGCATCTAAATCTCAGAAACGAGAGATGGCCTGTGTCCAGCTGTGAGTCTTATACAGGCTCTAACTTTTACTTAACAAGACCAAAAATGTCCTGATTCTGGGCAAAGGCGACTTCTAAAGTTGTTTGTAATAGACGTATTGTTTACTGATGTATACTCGTATTTTTTTCAATATCTCAATAAGGCTCAAATGATAGCGAGTTGCAACGTGTTGCGAGTAGTTAAAATTACAGTTTTCAATTTCAGTATTGTCGGCATGTGCGCGGAATCTGAGTAAGCAAAGATCATTTAAAAACAAATATTTTATAACCTCATTTTTAAAAAAGGTTTGAGGCTGTGTACATAATATTGTTATTATAACACGCGTTATCGTTATAAAATTAAGTGACAATACAGCCAATTAAAACACACGAAGCATAATGAGGATAGATAAGATAGCTACGAGTATCTTGATAAGGGAAGTAGACGTACCTCAATGCATTTGTTATGCTTCAGCTTAAAAGGTTAAATATATAAAAATTGATAGAAAAATTGCATTTGTGCGGTTTTTTCTAAGAGAATAAGGGTAGAAAGACAAACGAGCACACAGTCTACGTGATGGTAAGTGAATGCTATAGCCCATACAAACCTACATTTATTCCCTTATGCTGAGGACTAAGATAGAATAACTCGTTACTAGCAAAAGTGTCACCGGATCTCTATACACACCATATGAAACACAGCAGCAATAAGTTGCTATTTTACGCCCCTAATTTGTTTGAGCGTGGGCCTTCCCCGTCGAGTCGATCCATTCAGGCTACAATCACAATATAGCTGCAGCGTGGCTCTACCGCGTATGGTACTGCAGAATATGATATCTAATAAAAATAGACGTATTTACTCAAAAATAATGCCTTTGAAAATTATTATTTTTTTATTATTTACTTTCTACGATTAAGAAAGAAACAAGTAACCCAGGGTGCTTAGACGGGGTCTCAGCGAGTGACATATGAAGGAACAGGAGCCCTTTGTACATCCGGCGCTTTCCGGGCAATATCAGAATTCCTTTATGACACATTGTCTGTCTTTCCAAAATGACTTATGTGATGTGTGTGCAGTTTTCAGTGGATGTAGAGTCGATGTAACTATCTAAATAAAAACAAAAATGAAAACTGCAGACCAAACAGATGAAAACATTTGGAACGATCATTATCATCATCATCATTACACGTCTTCACAAGTCCACTGCTTAACATAGGCTTTCTCCAAGGAATGGCACAAAAAGTTCTGAGCCACCTGCATCCATCGACTTCCTGCATATCATCACCCCTAGTAGGATGCCGCCCTACATTTCCGATTAGGCTTACCGATACGGACCTGCCGCTCGAGAACCTTTCTTTCTTTCCTATCGGGTCTCTAAAGGAAGTCAAAATCATAGTTTACATAATTTTAGTACCATTATGAAAATAACAACTACGTTTAAAATTAATTTAATAGATACCTACTAAAACTTGCGATTAAGGTCGTTGGCATTGCCTATTAATAAAAAAACAACATACCTCTATACCGCTTCTTAATGAAGGTATCTTGGTGAGTCGAAGCCCGCCACAATGAGCGCCATACATGTCATACGCATGTTCATATGTGCATCGGGTTGGCTGCGAGGACAACACTTCAATCTCTGTTAACTCTTTGCATGAAATGCGACTGGTTAATAGAACGATGAAGGCCAAATAACCGTTGTACGATCTGAAAATATTTTTTTAATATCAGAGTAATAAACGAGCTGAAGTACCACATGAAAGCATCTTCAAAAACAAAAGGCCAAAAATGCGGTTATACCCCAGAGTTGGTGCACTGTTACCTTGTGGGGCATAAATAGGCGAGAGAGTGGTAACCATTCCAGACAGACTCGTAGGCACATGAGTAAAGTCGGTTTCTTTACTCAAGTGTCGTAGGCAAAGACATTTAAGTAGTAGCAGCCTATGTATTTAAATCTCTTTGGTCGTAGGCGTCGTTTGTAAATTTTAATTATTGTTGTTTATAATATAACTGACAGCTCTGACATTACTAAATTCTATCACATAATATCTCTAGCACAGCCAGATGGATTATTCAGCGCATACTCAGATATTTAAAAAAAATACTAGTAATGCTATTAAACATTACTAATATTCCCTTTAACCACTTCTGGTAAGCTTAAAATGCTTGTGTTAGAAGCGGTTCATGACAGTAGTCGAATGGCGGATTCGAACCCACGACCTTTCGAGTTTGCGGTTCACGCCCTGCCATTAGGCTACTGACGCTTCGATATTTAGTCAAACGGTGGCTGTCATTGCTTACCGTTACCATTACAGCCTATAAAAAGCCCACTGCTGAACATAGGCCTCCCCCATACATTTCCTTGTATGGAGGATATTTGCTATAGTTGTCACGCTTGGCGGACGGGTTGACAACCACAGCCCATCTACTTGTTTATTTGCCTCTGTCGCCTCTTACGACACCCACGCGACGTCATGGGGTAGTGGATATTCTTACATCGGCACTTTGCTTAATGTTGCATTAAACTAAAGGACTAACCAATAATTATAAATAGCTACACCAATGTTAAGCTATTGAACCATTCCCTACTTTATCCAAAGTCTCACTCTACCAACCGTGAAAGATTCACTAATGAACACCACTTATTAAGTAAGGTCTAACTAATTAAGTAAGCTATAGTAGCCTAATGGCAGGGTGCGGACCGCGAAATCAAAAGGTCGTGGGTTCAAATCCGCCATTCGAATACTGTCGTGAATCACTCCTAACGGTGTGTACATATTATATAACATAACATGTTATAAAAATTATTAAATTATTATATAACATGTTTCAGTAATGTGGAGACTGAATGTTATAAAACGTGTTATATGACGTGACAGAAATGTTATATAGAGTATTTTTCTTTAGTCAACAAACTACGTTTGTTTGGGACGAACCCAGTATCTATGTTTTTTTCTTTTGTTATTTAAAAGCACAAGAGTTGCTGCAGCAGCTAGTTAAACTTCTTCTCGTGTCGACATTGCGAAAAGCACTGCAGAACGACAAACGACAATGTCATATAACATTGTTATATTGCATTGTTATTCTAATGTGTACAGTATTGTTATATGTTTCAAATTTTAATATTGAAGAACAATGTGACATAATGTGGACGTGTTATAAAACAAAAATCATACAACATGTTACTTAATCTGTACGCACCCTAAAACAAACATTTTTAATAGAATTGTTAGTAGGTATTTCAAAAAAATAAAGATCTATAACTTTTTTTATGTTTTTTCTTGTGAATAAAAACATTCATCTGATTAATACAGTTGTTATACATCCTAACTAAATGCTACATATTTTATCCTAATACACTTATTTGATCATATTTAATTCTTATCAGTAGGTATATAGGATATAAATTTAATTAATTTCATAGTATTATAACCTACTCGGATATTTATCTCTTCGTTGGAGATCGTCCGTTCATTACGAACAGAGAATGCATTAAGATAGGTATTCCTTGAAAGAGGTTATCGTGAGACCTTTGGTTTACTAAATAAAGTGTATTTATCACATAAGGTAAAATAACATTACAATATGCATCAATAATAATGAAACCGTTGTATTGAATAAAGAATTCAATACCTGGTATAGTTTTATGTATGGTAGATTATTGTGGCAGCAGTACGCGTGGGTCGGTTCGACCGGGGACTTACCACGCTCGCACAGAACTACCAGCGTAAAATAGCAGCTGCTGTGTTACTGATAACAGGGTTATTCCATTCCATCTTAGTCCTTACAACGCATATCTTCATCTTGATGTTTAATCGAGTACAGATTTTGATGTCTATGGGGCACATTACAGCATCCACTTAGCATCAAGTGAAGTGAAATGTGCTTATATTTAAAAAAAGTACCTCCACTAGCATTTCTTCTGTATCGTGAAAGCATGTTAAATATACACAATTTGCACATGGACAAACAAATATTTAGACCGGAAACTATATATTATTATATTGCATACAAACACTTTTTCCGTGCAGAATTGCAGCGGCCCCGCAGCGCTGCATTTATACGCAATTATTTATTTTTGTATTAATTTCGACCCATATAATACCCGCGCCTCGGTAATTTTCGAATAAGAATATGATCTAAAGTAGTGATGTAACAAAGCCAAGTGTAATATTCGATTCTACTCCTGAATGGTAACACAGACGAATGATAACAAGCTCTTAATCGAGAAGTTTCTGCTCCTTAGTCGGAGCGAGTCTGATATTTTACTTTTCCCCGCGAAGCAGGCATGCGTAGGTATTATTTCCCTATTTCAATACAAGTACTCACGTGGAGCCACTTGCAGCATCAATGCATGCGTGTCAAGTTAGTCATCTAGTAGGGAACTCCAAGAAATATACAATTTAACTGCGGCGTGACGGTTCCCTACCGTTGCATGCATCACTCGCATACAAGTAGGCTTTGTTTGCCATCCACTGGCGTGCTTGTCGCTGCATTGCATGCTCTAACACATACTGCATACGTACTAAACACAGAATGTACTCAAATATACTGTGCCGTCTTTCATATAGTTCATGTATTACAACTGATCCTGCATAGAAATGGAATCAATAAGAGCCAAGTCTGACGAATACGATTGATGACGGAGTTAGCAGATGAAAGATAGACGACGGCAGATTACTTCACTCATTTGATATCACATTACGAAAAATGAAGCAAACCGTTTAGTTCGAATGCGTGGAATGTCGACAACAACGGGATGAAGACCCGCCGACCACCTGGTTGGCCGCTGGTTGAAAGGGGAGGAAAGAAGTGTAATTGCTGCGCACACTCTCTGAAATGCATTCTATAGAATCATCATCATCACCATCATTATCATCATTACAATCCACCACAAGTCCACTGCTGAACATAAGCCTCCCTCAAAGCACTTTCCTGACTCCTGAGCCACCTGCATCCATCGACTTCCTGGATGTCCTACCAGGTCGTCACTCCATCTAGTGGGGAATACCGAGAGACTACTTAGCTTCTGTGCTCGAATCTGACAAGATTGGTTCAACCAAACCAAGGTTACCAATAAGCCTCTAACCACGTCTTTGTTATTAACTTTTACTATTAACATTTGTTTGTGGATTTTTTCATGTTCCTATTGATCCTCGATGTTCCTTTGAGAGATTAAAAGCTGATTTTTCAATTGCTAGATAAAAGTTATCCATCAAATAAATGTTACAGTCTGAGAGCTGGCGACGAATTTTGGGAAGGTCCTTTGGGCAAGTTGAAATTGTGAAAAAATATAATTTTGTCTATTGGCGAATCCAGTCCTGCGAGTCCGGCAGAGCGTTTGCGGTTATTTCGTTACTGCGCAGCATATAAACTTTGCTAAAAAAAAATTCCAAAAAAATGTATTTTTGGTAACTTGCTTCTTTTTTAACTTTTAATTTAGTTTTTATATAATTCCAAAAAAATAATGCCAGACGTTTTTGTCGGTTATACTACGAATAAGACTATTTTGTCGTATTAATTTGTAAACTTTATTCACGTCTGGGAATTGTTTAAAACCGCTAAATTTGTCTGGCGATCTGCCGGTGTTATTAAAAATTACTCAATAAATACGTGATTAAAATTTGAGATTGCCAAAAGTATATTTTTTGGGAACTTAAAAAATATTTTTGGAGAGGTCTGGCAATACTTTATAACCGACAAAAACGTCTGGCATTATTTTTTACTACTACTAATAACTGAACTAAATAGTTCAACATTGTACAATGTTGATTTATTTTATCCATACAATTGTAATTTTTAATTTGTTTATTGTTGTATTTTATCCTGTGAAATATTTTACATGAGTGTCAAAAAATCCGATCTAGTACCTACTAAATAAGATGATAAAGCTTTAAAGTATAGTTTAAAAAAAAAAAGAAAAGGAGACAACTTTTTTTTGTATGGAGAATGGGCCCACCACAAATTGTGGCGTAACTTAATGAAATACATGTCTATAATCTATAAATTATAATAGTAATATTAGTTTTACCTTGTCTAACGGGAATACTGAGAAATTAACAATTAAAATATCAATATCACAATAACCTAAAACAAACTAAAAGCGATTGTCTAATAGTTTTCAATGGTTAATTTTTATGAAATAAAAAAAGGTTAAAATTGCTATTTAATTGTGAACCAGTGCACTCACTGGTCAACAATTAAATATTGTAGGTACATACAGCATATATTATATGATTAATGGAAAATCCTTTTAATAGTTCGTTCTTCATTACACGCAATTTTTTTCATATTACATTAGCCAGAACACGAATATCAAAACAATTTTTTTTTCAGATTTCATGTATCCGCTTAGATTTTCATAAAATCTTTAGGCCGCTTACTATAATAAATTGGTATCTATTTTATGTGTAATAAAATTAAGTTACGTTAAAATTTCTAGTGGGTCCAAAAACGATTGTCTCCTTTTAAAATGAAAAATTGTAATAGTATAGAGTTGATAAACATCAAATTTTTATATGTCCTCCACTTTCTGGTATATAGTGTATTATCTATGTCCTCCACCACGCTTAAAATTTGAGTGATGAAGCTATCGCAAAGTGGAATATCTATAATGATATTATGGACATGGTTTAGCCATATTTTAATATTCGGTACTACATTAACTACGAAAACTATACGAGTACGTTTTCAACTACGATAGTCTT